CCTCCAGCAGCAGAACTGCCCTGTTTATATGGGCAGCCCCAGATTCAAAATGGCTGCCCTAATCAGGCACCTGGCAGCTGCCAGCTTCAGGCCCCTAAAGTGGCAGGCACAACCAGTGCCCTGCCACACCTCCCTGTATGAGGCATGCAAGGAATACTTGAGGGAGGAGCTGTGCAAGGCAGATTCTCAGGTGGCCTTACACTTCACCTCGGACATCTGGAGCAGCTGGGGTGGAGATCATGCATACTTCTCCCCCACAGGGCACTGGTGCAACCAGTCAGGCTGTCAGTGAGCTCTCCTTCAAGCTGAGGTGATAGATGAGTCCCACACGGCAACAGAGATCATGGGGGCCATGAACCACTTGGTGCAGCGGTGGCTCATTGTGTAGGCCGAGCTCACTTGTGGGTTCATGGCCACTGAATGGGGCCAATATAGTCAAACCAATCTGTGATGCCAACAAAGTTGTGTGGCACACAAGTTCCACCTCATTGTCAGGGAGGCCTTAGAGGAGGACAGGGCTGGCGGTGACAGCGTCAGCAACACCAGCAAGCTCGTTTTGAAATGCAGGAAGGTAGCAGGCTACTTCCACCACAGCATCAAGGGAGGCAAGATGCTGTGTGACAAACAGGCCGAGATGAACATCCCACAGCACAAAATCATGCAGGATGTGGAGACTCGGTTGAACTCCACATACCTGATGCTCAAAAGGCTGGTGGAGCAACAGAAGGCCATCCATGAAATGGCCTTGCTCAGGGAGATTGGGATCAGTGGCCCACTTAACAGAGCTGAATGGGATACCATCTCCCAGATCTTGGTGGTTCTCAAACCCTTCCTTGAGGCTACCAAGACCCTCAGGGCTAGCAATGCCCTTCTTAGTCAGGTGATTCTTGTAGTGAGGGAACTTCAGAGCCAAATGGACAGCTTCCAGGGGATCAATGTTCCTGTCTGGGACAAGCCACTGTCACCAGATGTGCAGGCACTGGTGAGGCAGCTGAAGGAAGGCATCAGGAAATGGCTTAGTCCCTTGCGGACCAGTACGGTCCATGTGCTGGCTGCCAGATGTGACCCGGGGGTGAAGGGGAGTGTATGCAGCAGCCAAATCCTGAATCAGTGGACAGAGGTGCTGGTGAAGAGTTAGGGAGGCAGAATAGGAGAGGCGGTGGGGACATGGAAGAGGGGGATCCACTGTCCCATGCCAGCACACCATCCACCAGCCAGTCTCCTCCTCCACCACAGGCACGGCCAATGTGGGCCAAGTATCTAATGGTACTGCATCATGCAAAAAATGGAGTTCTTCAATTACTTGTCTTAGATTTTCTAAACTAAATGGGGCAAGGAATGGTAGAAAGGTGGCATTGCTCTGACCGAAGTACTCAACTTAGGTGTTGGTGGTAGCAAGCTGGATGGTGGTGGTAGCAAACAACAAAAGCCTGGCAAACAACAGGGCATGGCTTCCATGGTGGGGTCCAGAGGCACCAGATCCCACTATCAGGCACTCACTGCATCACCAGCCAGCAAGGGAAGAACATATCCCTGCTGAGCTCCCATGCCAGGATGAACTTGGAGGTATGGGCTAGGGCTATGGGGAAGGAGGAGATCCCAGGTCCTGGGCATGACCACTAAAACTGCACTCTGCCAGGGTCAGAAGGCCTGGTAGGACTGCCAGTGGCACAGCAATCCCAGGATATGCCAGGACTGAGGATCCCCCTGGTGAAATACAGGTAGGAGGCGCCATAACCTCCAGCCACCACGCACGCACACATCTTTGACAGGCCTGAGGCTTGCTGTACAGGTAGGAGGCGCCATAACCTCCAGCCACCACGCACGCACACATCTTTGACAGGCCTGAGGCTTGCTGGTTGCAGTGGAGTTGTGAGGCTCCAGGCCAGCTCAGCTTAGCTGCCTGGGATGCCAGCTTTTGGGTTGAAAAACCCTTTGTTAGGCTGAGGGAACACTTGCAGTTGGTGTGTGTGCTGTATCTGCATGGAAGAAATAGTAAAGAAGCCAGAGGCTGATATGCAATGCAGGGAAGAAAGCCAGTCAGTGAAAAATGGAAATGGAGGCATCACGTCAGGGGGTGAGGGACAGGCTGGGGTGAGTGGGTGACGGAGGTGTAGCAGGTAGAAGTGGAGAGGTACCTGGGGAGTCAGATAATCTGTCAGGTTGTAGTGTGTCAGAATTCCAATGTCTATATTGAGTCCATGAGTTTCTGTACCTACTACGTAGGAGGGAGATGAAGTGCAGCTCATAGCTTGTCCTTCCATCCAGGAACAGCACACACACCAACTGCAGATGCTTCCTCGGTGTGACAAAGGGTTTTTCAACCCCAAAGCTTCCTAAGATATATTTCTCTAACTATTCAGTTGGTCTACTAAAAAATATCTGATTAGATTGACCCAAAGGACCTTGTCTGCCAGTGCCATGTCCTTAGACCAACACCCCTAGCACCTGTCCCCAGTCAGCTGACTGGAAGGACACAGGGCCCTGGACACATCTAAGCCCCAGGGCTGGGGCTGGCAGGGAGAGTTCGGTGGCAGCTGGTGGAGAAGCTCCTTCAGGAAAGGAAAGAAAGGCACTGTGACAGTTTAGCTGCCTGAGATGCTGCTAGTGCTACTGTGCTGCTTACTTATTACCTGTTGTTATTTAAAGTGGTGGACTGGCCTGAGGCTGTAGGGGAGGAGGAGACCTCATTGGGGCACACTACCATGTCATGTAGAGGCCCCAGACACCTTAACACACACACAAAGTCACACGTCACAAGTTTTGCTTGTCAGCAGCTTGAGGTGCAGTTTCCCAGAAACCCCTGCACCTATCTCCTTGAAACTTGGCAGGCTTTGTGGCCTCGGCAGGGGCTACCATTCCTGCCGTTTCCACCCCCTGTGCATTCACACTTACAAGTGACACAAGTTTTTCTTTAAGACTTTGAGATGCAGTTTCCCTGAAACCCTTTGACCTATCTCCTTGAAACTTTGCAGGCTTCATGCCCTCAGAAAGGGCTACCATCCCTGCTGTTTTCATTCAAATCTGGCAAAATCTGCTGTAGCAAGAACATGGAATCCTCTAAAATGTTAAATGTTTGCTGGTAAAAAGAAGAAGAAAATACTGAACACTTATCTTCAAAAACACTCATTTTTAATTTCTTAAGTGCACACACATATTTTAGTTCACGAGTTGAGATTTGTGTATATTTTGTGTATTTGTTTGTATATTTGGTTTTTAAATTTGTTTGTTTTGTATATTTTGTATATTTGTTTTGCCATAATTATGATTTGCTGCATAACCTGAATTCAACAATTATCTGTATGCATTATCTTAGAGTATTTAATTCAATTATTATACCCTATTTATTTCAAGTAAATCTTCAGAGGCTGTAGCTTCTAAAAGCTAGCTTTAATGACCATATATGAGATGTGATTTTTTTTCAAAAGCATATCACTTGGCCAAATTTGTGTAGATTTTCTGAAGATGGCAAAAGGCAAATGTATGATATAAAGACTGGTACAACCCTTTCAATTCCTACTCCCTTCTCCAAAACATGTTATTGCTAGAGATGTGCAAAGGAAAGCTTGCCAGAAATGTTTTAAACAGCATGTTATTTTCCACAACTGCTTATTTTTGGAAATGGCCAAAACTTCAAAATGGTGTGTAAAATTTAAACCAAATGGTTACAATTTGGCAGTTATAAGAAATTGAAAAATAGGTACAGGCAGTCCTGAGACTTACAGTGCAGTTGGTTCCTGAAAACTGCGTCTTAAGTCGAAAAGTCATAACTCGGAACCAATTTTCCCATAGGAACAATATTATAGAAGAGGGGTTGGTTTCTTTACAATGCTCATCACAGCTGTCTCCAGCTGGTAAGTTCCTTGTGGTGGGGGGGAGTGTGGAGGGTGGAGGGAAGGGGCGTGAAGGGGCAGATCAATGCCCCCACAGCAAGGGAGGGATTAGGGCTGGGGCTGGGACAGGGGGTGGGGCAAAAGCTGCCCAGGCGAGGCAGAGAGGCGGGGGGCGGGTGGGGTGGCTTCCTCTGCCATGCACTGCTGGTCCAGGAGCGGCTCATCCAACAGCTCTCACTGTTGCTCCCGCCACCGGTATGGGAGTGCATGCAGGGGGCACGGGCCCCCAGATTTGCGTGTGGGGAGGCAGGACCAGGGCTGCACCAAGCTGCACTCCAGGTGGGCAGTGGAAGATGCTGGGAGTGGGGGCTATGCCCTCCTGCTGCTCACCCAGCCAGGGCAGGGTGGAGCCACTGCGCTGCCTCTGGGCAAGCAGCATGCAGCAGCAGGACCTATCCCGTCCTCCCCACACCTCCCAGGAGGGCATAGCCCCTGCTCCTAGTGCCTTCTGTCACCCACCTGGAGTGTAGCCCGGCACAGTCCTGGCCCGCCCACCTGCCCTGCACAGATCTGCGGGCATATGCCCCCTGCCCCCCATGCCCTCCTGGACCAGTGGTAGGAGCAGCGGTGAGAGCCGCCGGATGAGCCGCTCCCAGATCAGCGGTGCACAGTGGCAGGAGTTACCCCACCCCTTCCCCATGCCCTCCCATTCCAGCTGGGCAGCTTTTGCCCCAGCCCCTGTCCCAGACCCAATCCCTCCCTTGCTGTGGGGGCCATTGATCTGCCCTCCCACACCACTTCCCTCCCCCCTCCTCCCACTACAAGGGACCAACCAGCTGGAGGCAGCTGTGTCGAGAGTGTCGTAAAGTTGAAATCGGCATCAGAACCTCGAAACAGGGTGTACATTTATAAAGGCCGTAAGTGCCATTCACTGTAACTCGAAAAGTTGTAAGTCAAGGACTTCCTGTACAAAAATGGAAAATGTTCAGCAACCAACAGATGGTGTTATCGGCCCCTTTTATTGTGATAAACAAAAGACAAACATATTTGAAAGCATGGGATGGATTTAAAAAGTGCTTGTGTGAATTGGAAGCATGTTTCATTGGATTTCTGTAGGATTTGTGCTTGTAATGCATGTATGTGCTTTTGAATATTCAGCTAGCATTCCTTCCTTTGAAAAGCTTACAATTTAAAACTACTACTTCATCTTTAATAAGAAAGGTAACTGTGTACTCCAAATCCATTACAGGTTACTTGTAGGAATCTGATCTGTTAAGTGAATTGCAGGTCTAAAGTTACTATCCACTAACACAGCTGCACTTCTACCAAAGCTGCTCCTGTCCAGGTTTCTCCCTTACTGATTATCTGTTTTAGAGTATCTTTCCCCCATATGAATGACTTAGCCTTTTTTCTGATATATTTCCCTTTATTTATGCATAAGTTCTGAATCTCTCCCTTTTGTATAATTTGTCTGCACTCACTGATGTTCACAACTCCTCCACATTTAGTTTCAACTGCAGGCCTCATTAACATGTGGTTTGCCCTCTTTTCTAGCCTATTTATGAAGATGTTAAATAATGGATCTCTGCTCTACCCAGTTTTGTAAGAAGTTCCTGAGGGCATGGCTGAGGGACAGAGGTGAGGCAGTTTTGGCTAAGTTTGCACTCCAGTTCTCCAGACAATATCAGTTCTGCAGGACTGTCAATAAAATGCCATTTACAGTTGCTAAATACATTATGCTTTAACTATATATTCTTTTCTTATCTGAGTTTAAACAACTGAACTGGCTTATCAAGATTAATGTAACAGTTCGTAATTGTATAATGCTTTGAAGTTCTGTAGTACTAAGATACAAGGATTTTTAAGAACACTACACAGGACAGTAAAAATTTACAGGTGGAGAAACAGGCATGTTAAGTGTTGTGCTCTGCATACAGCATGTCTGTGGTAAAATCCTGCCAGAACCAGTCCCCTGATGCTTAGCCTGGTACTGTAACCACTAGACTCTGCCTCCCATCCAAGAACCTTTGCTCAGAAGTCCGCCAGGCTTGTCACACTCCTTGTCCTGAAGTTCTGCCTCTGACCTCAGTTTAGAATGACCCTTACACAGTCCTCTCTGCCTCGCCACAGAGAGGATAGCATCTCACACAGCTTCCCTCTCAGGAATTCGCTTTATTAACTAGACACCTTTACACTTTAATAAACCATGCCTGTTCTCTTACCAAACAAACACACTGATCTGATAAAGCCTTGCCTTCTGGAGCAGTAAGGCAGGCAACAAGAATCTTGCCTAAGCTCCCCCACCCCAGCAGCAAAATACAGTTGAAAGGTTTGTGAAGCAGCCTGGTTTTGGTGATTTTATCTGAAGAATGCAATAAATGCCCTAAAGCAAAGCAGCCCAGACTGGGCTAGGAGGAGTTGGTTGCAGGGCTCTGACATATTGTCCTTTCCAAGCTTGCAGGAGCTGGCAGGTCCCTGCAGCCCTTTAAATACCAAGGAGCTCATCTGTGACCAGAAGGAGGAGTAGTTAGTGGCATGTGGGAGGGACACAGCAGGTAGTTGGCCAGGGACTTGCTGCCTCCCTCCTCCTAATCTCAGGCTGTCAGAAACACAAGATCCATGCGGGAAAGCTGTCATCAACTGGCACCTGAGACTCCAGCTCTGCTAGTGCTGCATCCCCAGCCCTGCAAGTGAGGTGCTCACTCTACCCAGCTGCTCACCTGTGGGGAAGGGAGGCAAGAAAGTGAGCTGCTATTGACTGAGGACAGAAGAGATGGGGCTGGGGCTGTGAGCTGGAGACCTGCACTGCAGGGACAAGGACCCAAACTAGCAGCTGTGAGATGCACCAGAACTCATGTCTGGTAAGTGCCAGTGCTGAGATCCAGAACCCCACAAACCCCTTGGGGAGGGCAAGAATAAACAAGGAGTTGCTATCTGATGGGAATCTACCCGGTGAAACTTGGGGCTCAGGTTGGTGTGGTTCTTCCCCTCTCCTGGCTAAATCAGGGGACTTGGTGTGTGGTTGGTCCCAGGGAGAGAGCAATGCACTGCGTTAGAGAGCCCCAATCCTGCAAAGCCGAGCCAGCTTAGCTGAGCTGTTCAGCTTTGGTATCCCATGCCTGCATCTGTTTCATTCTTACTCTTACCTGATATCGGTTCCTATGAATGCAATTTAAACTGAACTTTCCCTTCCTGTCAGAAATCCAGCCCATTTACATGCTGCTCACTTCGGCAGATGGCTTTTCAAATTTTTTGGAATTGTTCAAATCCCTCCTGACTTCCGTGCTAGAGAATTAGTGCCTTGATCCAGGCTCTCTAACCAGTAATAATATAATAAACATATATGCACCCAAACAGAAATCTGTAGGTCCAGCTCCTCTCTAGAATACCTGTGAGCATAAAACTCAGTAAATCTAAGAGGTAAGAAGCTTTGCAATTCTTTGATTTTGTTTATATGCCTTTACTGACTGGCCTCCTATCAAATAATTGCTTGGTGTCTGTTGTAAGTAATCTATATAGAGCCAAGAGAGCACACAAGGACATATAAAAGCTGATTTTTTTTGGTCAAAAATTACTGTATTTGTTTTCTTTCTTAAAGGATTGTGTTGGGATGTGTGTGTATATCACAACATGAAGAAAGGGAAAATGTGATGTAATGTGGAGAGTTCTATAAAATTAAAGTTTGCAATGAAGTGTTACCCAGACATAACAGCAATAGATTTATACATATTGTCACATGTATTTTAATGTTTCCTTAATTCCTAAGTTAAAGATTTACCAGAGAGACAGGTAGGAAGGCTGGGCAATGGAATGGGGTGAAAGCTTACACAGTTTTTTTTTGAAGAATAAGCAAAAAGCTGTAAAGTCAAGGGAAA